TGAGGAATGGCCTTCAACAACATCCAGTGTGATGTGCTGTGAAACAGAGCCCAACAGTTACAAGCCCTTCCAGCAGCAAGGAACACTCCACGATTTATCCCACTGGGAGCTGCTTCGTCCAGGTTTTCACTCTTTGTCCTTCATAACCCAGTGATGTCCCACCTCCTCCAGTGCCCCCCTTGCCCCAACCCAGGCAAATCCACAAGCATTCCCATCCTTCCCAGCAGTCTGAGTAATGTGCTCTTTACCTTAAAGCCAAAGTAGTTGTAGGAGAAGTCTCTGTCGTAGATGATGGCAGAGTTCAGGCGCTGCCAGGGAACAACAGACAAAACTGATGTTACAATCAGCCCTGGGGGCCTCGTTAAGGTGGAACAATGCTATTCCTGCCTGGTATTTCTGGCCAAAACCTGAACCCAAACTTCCTCTGTCCCCTCTGTGCTGCCTCACTTTGCTCCAGCAGAGGGTACTTTAATCACTTGTGCTGATCACAGCACTGGGGACACCCAAGGAAACAGATTCTGCTACAGAAACATCCTGATGGGAAGGAAACTCTTCCATCCCCTCTTTTACACCCTCCAGTCATTCCTTGCACTGGTTTCTGTGTGGGCTTTTTGCTCTAGAACAAACATGGCTTGCTTAAAAAAATAAAAATAAATGACCCAAAGTATCTCACTGAATTCTGAAAACTGAGAAGTGCAGAAAAACAACTGCTTACATCTTTGTTGGCCAGAACTATGTCCAGAGTTTCTTTGGAGATCATTGGGGAGTGCTTCCCGTTGTGAGGGTTGATGTAGTTGTAGAGATCCTCCATCACATCTGCAAAGGAAAGGGAAGTGAAAAGGACATCCCCAGGCCTGCACCTGCATCACCTGGCACTGGGGTGAGGGACGGGAGAGGCAGGAATGCCCATCCTCTAAAACAAGTCCCTCCAGCCCACAAACACACAACTGTTCTGCCTGCTCAGCACCAAGCACTGAACAGTGCACTTGCCACAAATCCTATTTCCGTCCCCCAAAGCTCCCATCCCCCCGAGCAGCAGGACGTTTGACCCACCACTGAAGACCTTCTTGGTCTCCTTGTGCAGGTTGGAGACGGCGATGCGGGCGGCCAGGATGGCGTAGTCGGGGTGCTTGGTGGTCAGGGTGGCGGCGGTCTCGGCCGCCAGCGTGTCCAGCTCCACCGTGGTGACGCCGCTGTACAGCCCCTGGATCACCTTCATGGTGATCTGCGCCTGCAAGGACAACATTCCACAGGTCAGGAACCCCCCACCCTGACAGCCCAGCCCACGGATGGTGGGCCTCACGGCCGGCAGCAGCGCTCAGCCCGCCTGCAGGGAAATACCAAACAGGAAAACACCCAACAGGCTGGAGAGCTGGGGGTGCCCACCTGGAGAGGAGGATCCAGGAGCCTGACTGGGGCCTGCCAGGACCTGACAAGTAAGGTGGAGAGAGACTGTTTCCTGGAGGGACAGGACAAGGGGAAACGGCTTCCTGCTGCCAGAGGGCAGGGTTAGATGGGAGATTGGGAAGGAATTCTTGACTGGGAGGGTGGGCAGGCCCTGGCACAGGTTGGGCAGAGAAGCTGTGGCTGCCCCTGGATCCCTGGAAGTGTCCCAGGCCAGGTTGGACAGGGCTTGGAGCACCCTGGGCTGGTGGAAGGTGTCCCTGCCCATGGCAGGGGTGGCACTGGGTGAGCTTTGAGGTCCCTCCCAAGCCAAACCAATCTGGGATCCTGTGTAAGGATGGTTTGCAGGCAATGGGATTGACCAGGCCAGGATTGTCCAGGTCACAGTAGTTTCTACTGAAGCTTTTTGCACTGTTACCTTTTGCACAACTCGTCACAGTTACAACCTCACGGGAATGTTAGTGCGAGAGGTTGGGAGGGTTAGTATTGGCTGGGGAAGCGTCTGGCACAAGCAGATCCAAGTCCCAGCAGACTCATTCTCAAAGGAGAAATTCATCTTCGCACATGACTGCAGAATAAATAAGAATTTGGGGTATTAGGAGCCAGGAGGACTTGGAGCCTCACTGCTGCCCTCAGCACAGACCCTGAGGCGAGCTCAGTTGGTCAGAGCACGGTGCCAATAACACCAAGGTTGTGGCTTTGATCCCTGTGTGGGCCACTCACTTTATGGTTGGACTCAACTTTATGAGCCCCTTCCAACTCAGAATATTCTGTGAAATCTATTCCCAGGTCACTGAGGGCAAGTCAGGACCCTTCACGCTCCAATGACCAAGTCACCAGTGTCCTCCCCCTGCTCTCCATCCCAAAGACCTCTGGGTGCAGAACCAATGGCAACTCTGGGACAGGTGCAATTTCAGACAGGAGAAAGGATCATGAGAAATTGGGAGATGGGAAGAGCCCCAACTGGCAACTCCAGACGACGAGACTGGGTCTGAGATCGGCACAGAAATCTCACAGACATCAGCGGATCCACGGGGAAATCGTTCTGTGCACAGGCTTTGGGAGGAGAAGCTTCCAACATGCATCCCAGATCCTGCACAGCTTGGGAAATGAAGCTTTAGTACCAGAGGACAGTGTGAGTGTATGATGTGAGCAGGTGAACGATCTGCTGTGCCTGGTGGCAGAGCTCCAGGAAGAGGTGGAGAGGCTGAGAAGCATCAGGGAAAGTGAAAGCTGGAGTCACACCCTTTCAACCCCCAAGGAAGTCCATCAGGAGACGGTGAAGCCCTGCCCCTCCTGCCATCAGGCAGATGGGGCAAACTGAGCAGATGGGGGGGAATGGAAACAGGTCCCTGTTACCCTGAGAGGTAAAAGAACCCCCTCCCGACCCCCATCACCTTCTCAGGTGCCCTTAAAGAACAGGTCTGAGGCCCTGGACCCAGAGAGTCAGGCAGAGGACAGTCAGGAGGAAGATCTGTCTGGAGGGTCTCCTGGTTCCACCCCATCTACCAGACAGATTACAACCACAGCTATGAAGAAAAAAAGAAGGGTAGTTGTAGTGGGTGACTCCTTTGTGAGGGGAACTGAGGCCCTATATGGGAATCACAGAACATCCTGAGCAGGAAGGGATCCCCAAGGATCACTGAATTCCAACTCCTGGCCTGGCACAGGACACCCCAAAAGTTCTGGTGCAGCTTTTCCCAGAAGAAATTGGGGTCAGGGCAGCTCCAAGCCAGGATGAGGATCTGGGAACAGGCCAGAGCAGGATTCATTGGATGAGGGGCAGGGAACAGGACAGCAGGGCAGCGTGGGACTCACGGGGTCGACGAAGTCGGCGTTGAGGCCGTAGCAGAGCTTCTGGATGCGTGACGTGATCTTGTCAAACATGACCCGCTCCTGGCGCCCATCTGGGGACAACAGGCCACGTCACACCAGTCTGGCACCAGTCAGAACCAGGTAAGCACAGTGCCCCCCTCCCAGCACCCCTCTTGCAGGGAGATTTGGGGTGGGGATCACCAGGGACAGCCTGCTCAGGTGGGGCCCCAGGAGAGGGGAGGCTCCCCTTCCACCCCGAGAAATTCCCATCTTAAACTGCACAAACCCAAATCCCAGGGGTGAGGACCCAGTTGAGGGTCACCCACCATCCACTCAGGTGGGACCCCTCCCCTGGGACAGCATCCCTTGGACCAAGGGGGTGGGGACCAAGGTCAAAGCTCCTGCGATGGGGGCGTGGAGGGGGACTGTGGGAAGAGGGGGTGTGTGGAATGTGTGTGTGTGTTGGGGGTCTCCCAAAACAGAGGGGACTCATCCCTCACTGGTGTCAGAAGGGAGCTCCCACACTGATGGGGTGCACATGGGGTCCCATCCCCTCACACCACGTGCCATGAGAGACCCCCAAAGCTAAAGGGGGGACCCCATCTGCTCACTTTGGGTGCCACGAGAGGAGCCTCTAAACCTGAGCAGGTCTCATTTTTTGATATCCCATGAGGGAACCTCCCAAAATGGGGGGATACCCTCCCCTCTCACCAGGCGCCCCGAGAGGGACCCCCAAAGCCGCGGGGATCCCGTCCCTCCACGTGCCAGGAGGGAGCCTCCCAGAATGGGAGAGGGGGATACCCCTTCGGGTGCCATGAAGGACCCCCAATGCAGAGGGAACCCCATCCTTCCATGTGCCACGAGAGAACCTCCCAAAACACCCCGGGGACCTCATCTGATCACTCCGAGTGCCCTGAGAGGGACCCCCAGAGCCGAGGGGTCCCATCCCCTCACGCCGGGTGCCCCGAGCAGGGCCGTGGCCCCCTCCCCTGCGCTGGGTGCCGTGAGGGCCCCCCCGGGAAGGACGGAGCCCTCACCCCGCTTCACGACGTGCATGGCGGCGGCGGCGGCCGGGTCCCGGCTCCCTCACGGCGGGTCCCTCGAGCGCTCGCGGCCCCTCTCGGCCCCTGACAGCCCCCCCCGCTCCTCACGGCCCCCCTCGGCCCTCAGCAGTCGCTCCGTCCCCCCTGGCGGCTCCCCCCCGGTCCCCCCGCAGCCCCTCACGGCTCCGCCGCTCCGCCGTTCCCGCTCTCGCCGCGCGGGCCCCACCCCCGCTGAGGCCGCCGCTGCCCTCTTCACTGCGGGCACGGCTCCTGATCTGCCCCCTGCCCGCCCCGCCGAGCCCCCCGCGCCGCCGCTCACGGCCGGGGGACCCTGATCCCGGCCCCCATCCCGGCCCCCGTGCCGGTATTCCCGCCGCCGTGCCCGGGAATCGCCGCCCCGCCGGGGAGCACCGGGAATCCCGCCCGCTTCAAAGATGGAGCCCTGAGGGACCGCGCCGAGGGCGCCGCCACGGAGACCGCGAGGGGACAAAAGGATCGGCCTCGTCCCGCGCCAGAGCGCCAAAACGATGGAAATAGCGGTGAAAATCCATTATAGTCCATTAAATACAGTGTGGGATTAAACGTGGGAACGGGCTGCCCGGGGAGCGGGGGCAGTCCCCCTCCCTTCCAACACACACCAGTCCACGATTCTACAAGTCCCGTCAGGGCTCAGGGGCAGCACTGAGGTCTGTGCGAAAATCCAACCCCAAACACCACCAGTTCCCCTCTGATCCTGCTCTGAATGTCTCGGGGAGCAGCAGCTGTGACATTTTTGTGGGCCTGAGGTGTCACGAGAAGATCTGGTGTCCATGGTTCGCAGCACCTCCCTGTTCCACAGGCGGCCCCTCAGGTGCCTCCTGCCCAGAGGGGGAACTGAGCCCTCAGCACCTGGGGCTGGGAGGGGACACGGGCAAAGGGAGCCCAGCACGGCCCCACAACAGGACTGTGGGGTTTGCACCGTGAGGGAACAGGGAATCACCAACCTGCACCTCACCCTTCGCTGGGGCTGGTCCTGAGAGCCTTAGAGAGTGGCTGGAAATTAAACTATTTCTTCCGGATGGGCCCCTGTCCCTTCCCACATGAGGGAGTTGATTCCATTCAGATTCCAGTCAAAATAACAGCTGTGGGCTCCTCAGCACCCAGGCTGGCTGGGAAGGTACCCCATGCACCAGGTCAGCAAGGGCCCAGAGAGCTCTCCCCTCAAAGATGAGGCACAGAGAATGTTTGGGACTGATCAGGAAATGGGAATAAATTTGGGGGTGTTTCTCTGTTTTATTGGAAAAAGGCCAACAGAAGGAAAAAATAGTCCAAAATGAAAAAAATAATCCAAAATGGCATTTTGGGTCTGGTCAAAGCCTGGGTTGTGCTCAGAGTCTTTGCCCTCAGGTTCTGCTCTGTGTTGCAGTCGCTGTTTTCTTCCACGACGAGCAGGTGGAGCAGTTGTTCCGTTTGTGGGTTCAGCTGCTGCAGAGGAAAAGCAGCCTCTGGCCCTCAGCGTGGCTGTGGTGAGCTGGGACCGACCACGACCAACCCAGCGTCTCCTCGGGAGGTGAGTCTGGGGAGGAAATGAGGCAATTGCACAAACTTCCTGAGGCCCTCCAAGCTTCACCTCCACCCAGCTCTGAGCAACAGGGCCCTGTGCTGGTTCCCACAGCCCAACTGAGACATCATCCCTCTCTCCAGCTCCCTGACAGGAGGGAGGAGCCAGGGGAGGCTCAGGTTGACCAGGAGGAGGAATTTGTGGCTGGAAAGGGTGGTGAGGCCTTGGCAGGGGCTGCCCAGGGAGGTTTGGAGTGCCCAGCCCTGGAGGTGTCCAAGGCAGGCCTGGCCGTGGCACTCAGTGCTCTGGGCTGGGGGACAAGGTGGGGATGGGGAACAGGAGGATCCATGGGCTGGGAGGGCTTTTCCAGCCTCTGGGACTCTGGGATTCAGTGAAATTCCCTTTGGGCTGTTTCATTCAAACTATCAGAACTATGGGCATGCAGAGGCAACGCTGCACAAGGACACTGAGCTTGTCCCAGCACAGCAGCCATCGATGATGATGATGATGGATCTGAATTCACAGCTGGTAGAGCTGGGCAAGCCTTGAGGTCAAATCTTTATTTTGGAGGAGGAGAGTCACAGAATCACAGACTGCTTTGGGTTGGGAGGGGCCTTAAAGCCCATCCAGCCATGGGCAGGGACACCTTCCTGGCTCTGAGGGCCCCAAGGCTGCAGGGGAAGTTATGAGTGTCTTGGTTTCTGTCCCAGTTTAAATGAGACAAGGGTCTTTTGCTGAGGATGGATTAGGAGAAAAAAAGACCCAAACTTCCTTTTCTAAGCAATTATAAATCCGAAATTAAGAGGCTCCGATTGAAGGAAAACAAATTATGGAAAAAGGGAAAAAAAATAACAGCCCTTTATTAAAAGGTATGTGTGTATTAACAGGAACATGAAAAAAACCACAAAACAAGTAAAACAACCAAGCAATACCCCTATACCCACCAATAATCCCCTTCAAGAACAAAACCGATAAAACCGGCAAAAGGAAAATTAAATAGTTCCATTTTTAGCACTGTTTGGTGCAGTTCCAGCCACAGTCAGCAGGGGGCGCCGTCGGGTCACTGGAGATGCAAAACTTGTCATGTCCTGTACCGTTCACCAGGTGGCGCTGTTGTGTTAACGAAGGTGCAGAACTTGTAATGTCCTATAGTAGTCACCAGGTGGCGCTGTTGGATCACTGGAGGAGTGGAACTTGTAATGTCCAGCACCCGTCACCAGGCGGCGCTGTGAGATCCTTGGTTGCCGCCAGGTGGTGGGGGAGGAGGGGGGAAGGGAGAGGGAAACAGAAAGTTCTCCCAATGGAAGAAAACTCATGATTTTCAGTTGGTGAGGATTTCGCGGTGAGCCAGGCCTGCAGCTACCAACAGCTACGCAGAGAACAGCAGGAAAACTCTCCTCCAACAGGAAAAGACAAAGAAGAAACCAGGCAGTCTCTCCTGCTTGCTGCAGCCTCCCCTCTAGCTCCAGAGCTGAGCTCCAACCCCCCAAACCCCACCTCTTTCCACACACACCCCCTAGCCTTTCCCAATTCCTCCCCCTTCGTTGCTAGGTGACTAATGTCTTGGTCATTTAGTGGAGGAGGCCAATTCTTTTGTTTTACCTGATGGGTAATCCACAGAGCATACGCGCGGGGGAGGGGGGGGGGAGGGGGGAAGGGAAAGAAAAAATTTCTTACTAAAATCAGAACTATGACATTATCCACCCCTAATTTTTTTTTCCCTTTCCCATGCCACCATGCATCTATTAAATTGAACCTTTTTTGAACTCCATACATACATACATTATTCTAAACCACGTACACATTTACAAATATACAGGTACAAATACAAATGCGGAGTAATGGCCTGTTTACCCTAAGATGATATCTCCTTGAGGTATGCACCGGGTTTCTCCATCTTCTTGCATCATCCACCATGTGCAACCAGGTCCTTGGGCAAAAACAACTCCATGAATGGATTTGCCTTTGCTCGAGGCATGGTTAACCCAAACTGTTTTACCTAACATACCTCTCATGTGAACCACTGGGACCTTGTCCCCGTCTACAGTGTGAAGGGACTCTGACTGGGCAGGGCCAGCTCGATTGACGGAGCCTCTAGTGTTGACTAACCATGTAGCCTTTGCTAGGTGCTGATCCCAGTGTTTGAAAGTCCCTCCACCCAATGCTTTCAGGGTAGTCTTCAACAGTCCATTGCACCTTTCAACTTTCCCGGCAGCTGCTGCATGGTATGGTATGTGATAGACCCATTCAATGCCATGCTCTTTCGCCCAGGTGGTAACTAAACTATTCTTGAAGTGTGTCCCATTATCTGACTCAATTCGCTCTGGGG